GATCGGCGATCGTGATGCATCACATCTGGTGAACAGCAAACGGGACGCGAGTGTTATCGAAATATGGAATCTTGTTTTTATGCAATACAATAGGTGGGACATATTATTGTTACATGGACATCGAGTGGTTGTTTCGTCAATCGCTGCGAGCGATCGGTGGAATGTTTATTTTATTAGAGTAATGATTATTTATTGAATTGGTATTTGAATGCGTTTAATCATGCAAAGTATTCACAACGACTACTTATTTACTCGGTTGTGTTCATTCGGCCCTACTCGCCTAGCCAGCGGGATGGCGTAAATTGAGGTTAAAACGATGCGCACGGAAACATTGCGAGCATTGTGGCCAGCAAGGTTATGAACGTTTGATAGTCTGCTTGCCAATCCAGACGATCCAGATAATCCAGACAATAGGTCGATTTAGAAATTTACACATGATAGCAACTAGGCTTTTACACTGGATGACTTTCACTTGAAAAAAAAATGAATGAATGAATGTTGTTTTTGCTTGAATAAGTTCAGTTTTCTGTATTTTAGCCTTAAAATCTCGCATTTGAAGCACACTTTCCATCAGTCATAATATTGATCATCCGAGAAATCATTCATCATAACAGATGGTAATTCAGGGATCCGTCCGGATTAATGCGACCGCTGCCTTGTCGGCATATTGACTGTGGAATGGGCTTGGAGAGAATGACAGCAGTCCTGCAAAATGTTCATTCCACCTACGATACGGATATCTTTGCGCCGTTGATCGATGAAATCTCAAAGGTTTTGCTATTGTCAGCATTGTTTTCATTATTATTGTCACAATTGTTGCAGTTGTTTTGACAGTAAATATGGGAGCCTGATCGGGCAAGCCATTGATCATTGTGATCATCACCAGTTCGTTGTGATCTGCTAATTTTGATCATTTCTTTACGTCAAATGATTATTGCTGGTGTTCAGTTGAGAAGGTGTTCAGCTGTTTCGATTACGGCGAAAGCTGCGGTTAGCTTTCTGCATTTGCTAGAAGACTGTTCTGGTGATAACAAAACTGCTAACTGTAATCGAATACCGCATATAAAGATATATGTTAAGAGTTATTGTTTGAAGTGTTTCAGTGCACGAACTGCGGAAAATATGAAGGTTTGATGGGGCAAGCCGATAAACATGGTCGTGATACAGCCTATCGTACTGTTGCCGATCATCTACGTGCTTTATGCATAGCGATTTCGGATGGCGTTAGACCGGATGCCACAGGCCGAGGGTATGTGTTAACGTTTGTTGAGAATCTATCAAATTCGTAATTTGATGATTGCTTTGTGAAGTTGTGAATGATTTAAATGTTATGTCAGTGAAAATAACTGAAAATAATTGAGCGATAGTTGTGTATAATGCTGTACAGTGTTTGCGTGAAAGTAATGCGCATTATAGGATTATTTAGAATATCATTTATATATTTTTATGAAATGTATTATGATTTTATGCTTATTATATGATAATTTAGATGTATGATCTTATATAATTTTATGCTTATT